CCACAATGTGTGTACTATCCACTTTCAACATGTTTTCCTAATTTCCTCTTCATCTAGGAACTGGTTTGTTCTCTCCCATAAGTAGGCTGTTGCTGATAGAACGAGAAACATGGGAACATATAATAGTTTTCATCAATATATCTACTTATTTAATTCAAGTGTAATTACTAATCGGTCTATTATTCAATTACTTGCTTCAATGTGTATCATTTTAACCCACATAATTTAAATTACTTAGTAGTGTGTTTGAAATATTTAGCCTGATATTATTAAGTGTACAGTGAGATTGTAATGTCTCCGCATACATACTAGATAAAAGAGCATTATTTTTTTAACAGATCTCTACACCACTGACTATTTAATAATAGGATTTGTGAGGACCGTAGAACCTTCACAGTTCAAATCACTAACTAATCTCAGTTAGACAACTACTGAAAAACTAAAAGTAATAAACAGCCGTTTCACTTTAGTATGGAAATCCTTGTGGTATACATTCATAACTCTGAATCCAGGAATCAAACGTAAGACCTTAATCCATAGACTACTGAGCCATAATGAAATGGTGTACATGTCTAGCTTGAATCGATTCACAATATTTCCTACAGTAGACAACTGTCTCTTATTCAACACAGTTTATAAATTAACAGTAATGTAACTATTTCACTTAACTGTTGATTGACTGATCAAAATTTCTTCTATGATCCCTTCAGTTTAATTGATAAATCTCGCTTTTAATATTGATAATCAGAACTTATGTTTTTACTTTGATCACTGATAGATATTGACTTTAAGATAAATATATATTTTCTGATATTTAGTCTACAATTTGTGTTTATTTTATTATGTAAACGGAATACACCCATCAAGATATTTAATAAGAAAGATTGATTCAGCGAAGAGTTCTCTTTACGGCGAATTCATTTTCAAAGCTGTACAATCGCAAATATATATACCTATTTTTCAGGATTTTAATAATTACCATAATAATGATAATGAACTTCCATTAGACATGGTGACAGTGAAGTAGAATAAATAAAGGTATTAAAAAAAAGTTTTTTAAAATAAGGAAACTAATAATCGATTGATTGTTAATGGCTTAAATATTCATCAAAAGGTAGATAGGGAGATTATCATTGGGAAAGGATAGCTCAGCATGCAAAGATTAAATGTTGAAATTGAGATTAAATGTAATCAAGAGGATCATAGAAACAGAAATAAACCAGCTGGGGATAGAAGGATTAAGAGAAAGATGGAAGGGGAAGCAGATAGCTATAAAGGAAGAAGAGTATGAAGAAGAAAAAAAGGAGAGAAAAAAGTTATAAGACATTAAGACCATGGTAGAAGAAGAGGTCGTACCAATTTCTTTTGTACACACAATCCTGGTCTTCCCAGATGTATAGATATAGCTTCGGCAGTGCTAAGAAGATGCAATTTAATTGCTTTTGGAAGACTTCTACTTACCTTGTAGATGACTTTGAACGCAGAATTTGTGTTTACAAGGTGTTCAATTATTCAACTTCTTATTGAGCTAATTCCGCTTCTTCTTCTAGAATAGTTGAAGTTTATTTCTAACATATGATTTGTGATCCGTTTTTTTATACCGTTTTCGTTATTCCGTTTTTAAAATAAAGAATAAAGACTAAAGGACCAAAGTAGGACGAAACGGCCGTTAAATGCTTTCAGGTTTTTACTGGTGGTCTAGCTTAAATCGACTCGTGAGGAATTCAGTTGATAAAGTTGATGTTAATTTCAATATTGATTTTACTACGTAAATAGTGCCAGTTATAAAATGAACTAAACATTTTTATGACATTTTCACGTGTTCGGAGATAATAAAAATGTAAAACTGAACCTATAATGAAGAGTTAAGTGAAAAAAGCTTTAACAAGTTGTCTTAAAGATATGTCATGATTATTTACGAGCGTTTAATTTGGAGTCGTCGCTTCGTGAGTTAGACACTCACTTTGCAGCTTTTAAGTTCCAGGTTTGAATCCCACTCCGCCTAACTTGCACTGGAGAATTAAGTAGTATGATTTCTGCTCACAGTTCAAGTATGAGTCTAAGCCAAGTACAATAATAATGTCTGGTAAATGAGTTGAGAAGAATTAAAATTAAGCACTGTTTTTAATCTCTGTAATACTTTTAACCATATGCTTTATAGTGTTCCTCAAACTATACATCTGTTTGGACAATTGAAACCATATTACGAACAATTCGTAAATGTTCGTAACCACAAAAATATACTCTCGAATATTTTGAGATTTTAGGATAGATGGATCATGTTTAGCAGTGAAATACAGAACATGGATGTATCTTTTTATTCTTTTTTGAGCGGGGGGCATTTCAGCTTGATGTACATGTCATATAGTTGTATTTGTTATTAAGATTCTACTGGTAATCATAATCCATGTACAACATTTATACCAGTGTGAATGTAGAATGACAGTTAATTTTATAGTATAACTGGTCTATTTTGATCGCCACCAGCTAGATAATAGTTAATATTTTCATTATTCTATAAACTGATTATATTTGTTATAACCTTAAATGGATTATATTGTTTGAATATGGAAATATCTGTATACTATTAAAAATTATTAAATATTTGAGGTGTTCTTGATTAATGGTTGAATTCATGAGTTAAGTTAAGCTAGATCACCATGGAAAACCTGGAAGCACTTGATGGCCGTTTGGTCCTAGTATGGGACTGCTCAGCAGTGTGTATCCATAATCCCACCAACAGGATTCGAACCAAGGACCTTTCGGTTTCACTCGCGAACGCTTAATCTTCTTGATTAGTTGTTCACTTATTTCAAACATATAATTATACCGACCATGGTATGTTTTTATCCACTACACACGTATTGAAATTTTTTAATTTACTTATTATGAAAAGTAAGTAGTCTGATAGAAATGTTTTGGTCTCCAGATACTAAATAATAATGTTCATCTTTCCCCCAATAACAAGTGTTACTATGGTCATTAAGACAATAAACGTGTTCTTATTATTCTGTTTTAATGATATTTTTCTTATTCAGTTTAACAAAGTTAATTAACACTAAGCGAAATATTTGATCACCTTTTTTGTTTTTCAAAAGTTGTAACCGACTTCTTTTTATTAAAACAAAGTATTTATACACTGTTTATCCAATTTTTCGATTATTGGTCGAATAAATACATATATCAATATAGATTTGTGGAAATTGTTGAATTTCACTGAAACTATGAGTCGATCTAAGTTGGACAAACATTAAAAACGGGAGATCCTAGGTATGATTACCGTGTGCGCTGTCGTAAATGGACACTGCTGAGAAGTCCCATGTTAGGACGAAATGGCCGTCTACTGTTCCCAGTTTTTCAATAGTAGTCTAACATTGATCTGTCTATATATATATATATATATATATATATTTCAGATTAAAATCTTTTTGAAGTCATCGGTTTATTCTTGTGTAAGATCTTATCTGTGTGTTATTCACACAATTTGATCTGTATAGTCACAAACCAGAATGACTTTACAATAATTGTTTTTTTAAGAAACATTTCACTTGATGAGGAGAAAAAGTTTTTAAATATAGACTGCTTCTAAAAAATAATGATACTAAATTCATGTGGTTATATTGTCTCTTTTCAATAGGATATCTTAATAGTGTAAATTTGATTCTAAAAGACATACATGAAATAATAAATCAAATTAGACTGTAGATAGAATTAGCGAGTCAACTGTGATTTACACCATGCAATGAAGAGAACAAAATCTGATGATAGTTGAACATTATATTGATTTTACAAAAACACAATAAGTTTGTTTAACCAGGCAAAATACTAAACAGTGATGGTTTCTTTTTACTGAAGATAGTACTTTCTAGATATTAACTTTGAGGTGCTCTAGTCAACAAAAGTTTAAAATATCAAATAATTTTAAATGATAAATAAAAGTTTTATTGATCATTAAAATTTGTGATAGATGATGCAAATAAATTTTAGATCTTACAAAACTTGGAGGAACTATGATAATCAATTACCTATTGGTAAATAACCTAGAAAAGGATCAAATGAGTTTTAGTGGGAAATCATAACTGGTGAAGTTCATACATTACTACGTATACATACAGCAGTTACTCAACAGTGGTAACCGATTATATACAGAGAACGGATTAAAATAAAAAATGAGAATTATTTGATGTAACAAAACCTGTAGGTCTTAGATATATTCATGTCATATCCGAACAGAGAATAAATGAATGGTAACTGGTAGGAATTATTTGTGGACTACTATCGTATATATTCTTATTGGATAATAATTATATATATATATATATATCGTTTATCATAAGCTTTCATTTGGTCTATTGTTTACTATTATTCAACTTACTGCTCTTGATTTATTCCCAATCATTTAGTTACTGTCTCCTATATAGTCACTTTTGGCTTGATCTTGTCTAATTAGAATTTTTCGTTTTTTGGTGTGTGCATCCTGGTCTATTTGTATATAAACCACGTATGTCTGAAATATGTTGTTCATACACTGGATGCGGATATTGTGTTTTAGACTCAACGGGCAGGGTTAAGCGAGAAGCTACTAAATCAAGGATCAATAAGGATCCAGGGTTGATCCAAGGCTAGTAATGCTGATTGACCTGTCATTGGTTTAGCACAGGGATAATGTCATGAAAGTTGGTATTCTGATTGACCATTTTATCAAGTGATATTTGACAGGGTTTAACTCATAACAGCTCACTGACAGAGTTCTTTGAATTCTAAGTCCTGATGAAACGACTATTCAGTGTTTCTAGGTTTTCAATAGAACATCATATAACGTGTCAATCTATAACATAAATTGCTCGAACTAAATTAATCTTGACAAATTATTTGCCTTGGTATCTGATTATATATATAGTATTAATTTGTTAGGGAGATAATAAAACGATAGTTTATTTGAATTTATTTCATATTGATCTATTATCTTGGTTCTTTTTGTTGCTTCAATTCACTTTTAGTTCACATTTATGCAGACAAATTTTCATGTAAATGTTTCACCAGTTTGTACATTAAAAAATAAACAAACAAAACGGTTGATTCCATACATAACAATATTATTATTAATAATAACAGTAATAATAATATGAATGTAACTAATAATGTGGTAGTGACACCAGCACATCTACTGACATTATTACCTGGAGCTATTCCACCTGAATCAACAAATTATTTCTATGGAAAAATTACACGTGAACAAGCTGAAGAATTATTATTTACACATGGAGCTAACGAAGGTCTATTTTTATTACGTGAATCAGTAAATAGAAATTATGCTGTATCTATATGTCATTTGGGTCGTGTACATCATTACAATGTGGAACGACAAACAGATTGTTCGTATAGAATTCAAACAGGTAAGTTATCCTTTAATTAGTAGTTGTAGATTTAATGATTTTTCAATGCTTCATGGTTTTTAATCTTCTACGTAAAATCAGTCGATGGTGTAAACTGTGAAATTTATTAAGTGGTATAAACTCCTAATAGTCATGATATTCATTTACTGAACAGCGATTAGTTTCGAGAGTTGATTCTTAAAGTTCTAGAGGGGATCTCTCCCCAGTAGGTCTTAGTAATGTTTAGTATGGGACAGTTGCACACCCAGAGGGTTGCGCAATATACCAAATGGGCTAAAATCAAACATATAAACGATTTGACGTTGGTTTGTTGGTCTAAAGGTTAAGCTCTTTTATTATATTCCTTCTGAATTCATAAGTGTGTGCAGCTCAAGAGTCTCACGCTCGAAAAAATAACCTACGCAATATATTTCGGTTTTCATTAATTACCTAAGATCATTCTGTGATGTAAGCTATGAAATTCAACAATCTCCTCAAATCCCCTAAAGTAATTGTATTTTCAAATTAGTTATCATCTTAGACTGATGTTAGTTGAAGAATGATTGAAAACTAAGCACGTACCAAATGGCTTTCTCTTTCGTTGTTTTAGAATTCTCAGGAGTTCTCATTCTCTTTCCACTAGGGATCGGACTCAAACAATTAGTTCTGTCGGTAAACATTAAAGCTACAACCTAATTTCCCACTACTCCAACTTTTATAGTTTTAGGGTAAATACAAACTACCGAATTACATTGTATATCATACACATAGAGTAGCAGTAGTAAGGTAGCAATAGTAACAGTAGATTAACATTAAATCTAGGTTTGGCTGTAATTAGTTATTAGATTATAAAATGGTAGTGGTTGGAGGTAGTCGACAGAAAACGGGATTAAAACCCTCAAGGAACACCAGTTTCATTAAGACTACGGTTACACGAGTGCAAAATAGCGCAAAATCTAGGTCTTTATTCAAGGTTTCATGTCGATTACCTTCAACCACTACCTTACATCTCAATATAGTGCAGTGGATACTGAGTCGTTTAGACTAGTGGGTCATTACAACTTGATCAATAGAACTAGATTTGCACCAAGAAGGACCTGACATACATGACATTGGTCACTCATTACCAAGTGATCAATCAATTGTAGAAATTTATAAGACTTGGTGGAAACCTACCAAATGGCTAATTAATATGGTAATAAAGTAAATTACTAGATCCGATTATTTTTTTTTTGAAATCGAACAAACACCCATAAAGTATGTTTCCACTATAATTATATAGGTTATATTTAACTCGTATGCAATCCGTTTTATCTGCTGTACCGATAAGTTTAAACAATAATTTCACAGTTCACTTGGCATTGTTTGGCTTGTATCTTCCCATTGAGTTTTAAGACTGCAATTGATCAGTCTGTTATTGGCATATGTGCATACTGTGCGAATGCCTCGATATTGCCTTAATGCACAAGCTTTTTGTAAGCAATGATGAATAGTGGCTAACAGTGGAATCCAGGACGCGCGTTTCGTACTATTTGGGACTCGTCAGCTTGATGTACCTGTACCTCAGAGTTGATGTTCACTCTGGGACTCGAATCCAGTATCATTCGCTTCAAACGCCATCGCGTTATTCAAACAATACCAAGTAAATTGAAATTCACGCCACTTGCACAAGCAAGTGGCTATCAGGACTCAGTAGCTGAGTGGATGACGCGATGGCGTTTGCAGCAAATGGTACTGGGTTCGAGTCCTAGAGTGAACATCAACTCTGAGATACAGGCACATCCAGCTGACGAGTCCCGAATAGGACGAAACGCGCGTCCTGGAATCCACTGCTGGCCACTATCCATCATTGCTTACAAAATAATTCCACAGTGTTCTAACCATAATGTACCATGATAATGTGAATATTGCTTAGAGGCCTAACGGCCTTGGCATACCTTTTTTACCTATTTATTTAACGTTAAAGTGATAGATTATACTTGGTATATTCAATGTTATATATAGTGAGGACACATTTGTCAACTAATCTGTAACAAGGTAGTATTTTGAATTTGAGGTCAGTTGTCAGTTTTATTGAGATAATAAATTGTGTTTAAAGCAGTTAAAATTATTTATTTGGTGGTTAAACGAGATAAGCTATTAGCTAGGTAGATATCCAGACCTTGAATTAGCGTTCAGTTGAACTGAGATTTTGGATTATTATTATGCATTAAATAGGTTTGATCATATGGTTTTCTTTTAGTAAGCTGACAAGTTTTCAGATTAATGGTCATGACTGAAAAACAAATATTATCGTGTTTTATATTTGAGACGTGGTTATGGGATTTTCTGGTGAATTGATCTGAACTATGATATAACTAAACAAAGCTGAAGAAAATTTTCAACTCACTTCGTGTAACAGACGCAAGAATATAAAGGGATAAGCTATTGACTAGTTGAAACGAATAACTAAGTGGATAGTATACTTACTTACTTACTTACGCCTGTTACTCCTCGTGAAGGAGCATAGAATTCTTTATACAACCCTGTCCTGGGCAATCCTTTCCAGCACTTTCCAGTTGTTATTCAACCTTAACATATCTGCTTCTATTTCCCGACGTAATGTGTTCTTTGGCCTTCCTCTTTCCCGCTTCCCTTCAAAATTCCAAGTTAGGGCTTGCTACCTGATGCAGTCTGATGATTTGCGTAATGTATGTCCTATCCATTTCCATCGTCTTTCCTTAATTTCCTCTTCATCTGGAAACTGGTTTGTTCTCTCCCAAAGAAGGCTGTTGCTGATGGTATCCGACCAATGGATGTTGAGTATCTTGCCTGAACAACTACTTATAAGTACTTGCACCTTCTTGATGATGGTTGTTGTAGTTGTCCAAGATTCAGCTCCGTACAGTAGAACTGACTATCTTGACGTTGGTATTGAAGATTGTGACTTTGATATTGGTTGACAGGTGTTTTGAGTTCTATATGTTTTTTAGTTGTAGGAATGCAGCCCTTGCTTTGCCAATCTTCACCTTTACGTCTGCATCTGATCCTCCTTGTTCATCGATGATGCTTGCTAGGTATGTGAATGATTGTACATCTTTCAGAGTTTCTCCATCAAGTGTGATTGGATTAGTGTTCGCCGTGTTGTATTTGAGGACCTTGGTTTTTCGTTTGTGTATGTTGAGGCCTACTGATGCAGAGACTGTTGCTACACTGGTTGTTTTTATCTGCATTTGTTGGTGTGTATGCGATAGGAGGGCTAGGTATGCTGGTGTATAATTATATCGATACTGTGTTTGACTTCCATACTTAATATCAACACTGAGATACAGATATATCCAGCAAATGAGACCTAAATGGGATAAAACTTGCGTTCTGAATTCGATGAGTACTCATAACTCAACTTTATTAAAACATTGATAAGTTATTTGAAGGAAAAACTTGAAGTTATTTTTCACTATAGGCTCAAAACCTACCAAAAACAAACAAACAAACAAATTGAAAATTATTGAATCACTAGTTTTATTTTCTAAGTTAAAGTTCTTTATTTCTTAAAATGAGCATACTGGTCAAACTGAACTAACCTAAATTAAACAAATTCCTACTTGTCATCAAATCTTTACGCGAAAGAAAACTTTTTCCTTTTGTTTATCACTAAAAGAATTTTGACAATATAATCCAGTTTTTTAGAATATTTTTTTCTTTTTTTTTCCTTTTTGTTAGTTACAAGTATGTTCTTGGTATAGATGATGTTTTCTTGTCATATCTGATCTACTTGAGTTTAGTTTGTACAAAATATGTAAACTATAACAGTAAACTAATAAGATATAGTTTTGAACTAGTTCACTTTGTTTATTTCATTTAAATTCATATTTGTGATTTTAATTCCAATTACTTTTACATGTTCAAATATTGTAATGATAATATGTTGGATATGATTACATAAGAAAACGGATGAGTTCAATCATTCGATATGTAAGAAAGATAAATATTTTCATTATTCCTATTAAATATTATTGAGGAGATATATGAATATAGAGAATATGAAATAAAGAATATTTTTTCAAAGTTGAATTCACGAGTTAATCTAAGCTAGACTGCTATTGAAAATCTGGAAGTATTGGACTCGTGAATTCAACTTTGAAATTACTATAATTTCCACAAATCTCCATATTGATAATAGTCATGTACTCACTAGTATCTAGTTTCAAGATGGATTTATTGGAGTTCTAGGGAGAAGCTGTGGCCAGTGAAATTCAATCGGTGTCAGGTGTGAGACAGTTATCTACCTCATACAATCGATGAATGGTTGGGTAAGATCATGTATCGATTGAATTTAGATATTAACACCGTTTGATACCATCCCAGTGGTCTGAAGATTAGGCGTTCAATCGTTAAACCACAGGTCTTGGGCTAAAGTCCCTTTAGTTTGGGATCAGGGATGCTCGCTGCTGAGAAGTTCCATATTGGGAGGACATGGCCATCCAGTGTTTTAAAGTTTGACTCAGAAATAACCCCTCATCAATGAACCAATGATTAGAGCATTCAATTCTCTTTGTAAATTAACTTGATAAGTTTTGAGCGAATTATATGTAATTTTAAAATGATTTACTGTTTATTGTTTAAAATCAATTGAAACAAATTTTCTGAAGTTTTAATTGAATATTGAATCAAGACAATGACAACATTAATGACATTGTTTCAAGACGAAAAACAAGATCAATAAAATAATTAGATTTTAAATTAATAGTTTAAAGAACTTGAGTCTTGAAGGCTACAGTTGAGAACCTGATAAAAATGAAGCAACTATTGTTCAGTCCCTCATATCTTTTAATACATACTCTATATCTACGACATTAGTTTATGATGTAAATAATTTTAAAAGTAATACAAGACTAGCTGGAAAGATTAATAATTGTCTAGATTCACTATTTCAGTGGATAAACTATTGAGCATTTAATTCAAAAGATACCTGGTCTGGCTCTAAATATAAACATCAATACATTTAAGATGAAGAGATATTTAACTAGCAAATCCCAAAT